TGACTTTAGCCTGGTTCACTGCAGTGGGGCTGTTGGATGTACCATCCTCAGGGAGAAAGCACCAGCAAGCATTATCTGGTTACCCAAGTTTGCTGTACATGAGGGTATGACTTGTGATTCTCTTTCCCTGCCTTCTCAGCTCACTCACTCTGATGACCGCTTGTCTTTTCCATGTGTGTGTTTTCTGCTGGGATATAGTCCTATCCCATGTAACAGTGCCCTCAGAAAAGAGTTCATGATTGTTTTGGCTTGTTTCCTCTCTGTGCAATCGGTCAGTTTACAAAAAAAAATTTAAAAAAAAAAAAATTGTCACAGACTTGTAGAATGTTTTGTGTTGAAAGGGACTTGAAAGATCATCTAGTTCCACGTTCTGCACAAACAGGGATACTTTCCACTAAATCTGATGTCTTGGAGTCCCATCCAGCCTGGTCCTGAACACTTCCCAGGACTGGACATCCACAGCATCCCTGGACGGCCAATTCCAGTTCCTCACCATTCTCTTAGAAAAAAATTTCTTCCTAATAATTCTGTTCTTTTTTTACTTGAAAGCCATTGCACCTCGTCCTATCATTACTATCACTGATTAAGTATCCCTCCCCATCACATCCCCCTTCCCTGGAGTCACTCCAACAGGTCAGTGTCTTTCTTATGCTGGGGGATGCACAGCTGAATGCTGTACTCCCTGTGGGGTCTCACAAAAGCAGAGGGAGAAATTCACATCCCTTGATCTCCTGGTTGCACATGTTCAGATATTCTCTCATAGTTATTTTGGGTGCATACAGTTCCAGAGCCCACGTCTCAGAGAAGCTGTTTAATAATAACATAAATAGTGAGATCGAGTGCATCCTCAGAAAGTTTGCAGATGACACTAAGCTCACTAGTGTAGTTGACAAGTCATGAAAGAACGGATGCCATCCAAAGGGACCTGCAGAAGCTTGAAGGATGAGCCCATATGAACATCATGAGATTCCCGAAGATGAGACACTCTGGGGACACCTCATGGGTACCTTCCAGTAATTGAAGAGAGCTTGTAGACAGGAGTGAGACCAACCTTTTATACGGGCAAGGGGGAAGAACCTTAAAGCGGGGAAATTCAAGAAAAGTATAAACCATAACTGGCTTGAAACCATTGAAAGCAGTGCTTGCATGGCCAGGTGAGACTTTTGAGAAGGTTTTTGTCATTATCAAGGGAAGAGTGAATGCCTTTAGAGTAATGAATCTGTTGATCCTTCTCAGACCTCACTTCTAGATGGCAGATAATTCTCGCACCTGCTGATTATTACTCTCAGGTAGGCAACGTGTGTGATGTAGAAGATGTCACTGACAGGGGGAGCAAGGACCCAGGCCAAGGTCAGATCCAAGAGAGGTCTGGCTGAAGACACCACCCAGGGAGCACAGTGGACCAAGTTGGTCTAGGGACCCTTGCCAAGACAGGAGGTCAGCAGAGAAACAGAAACAAGTTCTGTTATTTGTCAACATTCCCATTAACATGACGTGCACCAGGGCAAGGAGCTGCACTGCCTTTTATAATGGACTCTTGCTGACCTGTGTCCAGAGGCATCACTTCTAGCAGGGATTATTTTCTGACAAGCTCCTCTTGAATGCAAAACATTCCAGATAATGATATAGAATGTACGTTGGCTTCCTGTTCCTTTCAGTTTGAATCCTGATATCATGCTACCTTTGTTCCTCTCTGAAGGCATCCTTTCAGTGGCAGGAAAGGGGACTCAAGCATTTCCAGGCAGTACATATCCATTTGGGCAAAATGTTCAGCTCCTGGACTGGAAGAGTCCTGAAAAGGCAAACGACGGCACGCTGAGTCACACCTGAGGGGCTCCTTGGGGTCATTCTGGCAAGAAGTTACCTTAAGTGGCACTATAAGCATATGTGTGGAGGATTATTGATTGGGAAGAGAGGTCGGGACCTTATGAAACAGGATGAGAGAAAAGGGAGCCAATCAAGAAGCATACAGAGACAGACATCAAAGGAGTACATGGAAATGATGGGAAGAAATAAATCTCACATTCACACCAGCTGATGAGGAATCAAGAAACCTCTGGGCCACTTCCAGGAAGACAAGCCTGGCCTTTGCAGGAGATGCAGCTGTGCATCCGGACATGGATGGGGATTGGTGTGAGACAGACCTATACTATCTGATGTTGTGATATGCAGAGAAAGAGGTGAACATATGAGGAGTGACAGAGTGGTGTGCAGCAGGGGCTCCACAGACCAGGTTGAGCCATGTGATTGATCATCACAGACTCTCATGTCTCCTTAATGAATCTTTTCTTAACCCTGCATCTCACTCTATCCTGTGCTGAAGAGGGCAGCATGAGTGGTTTTGGTGCCAGCTGCTGGAGTCAGACTGGGGCTGAAGATGTCCCTGCCATATGCTGTGTACTGCTACAAGAAGAGGGATCAATGATTCTCTAATGGAACAGGTACAGGTCTTGAACCCGAACCAAATGTGGATGGGGCAGCTTTTATCCCCATAACCACCCGGGTGTACTGCCAAGGGTGAGAGAGATGTGGTGCTTAGCATGGGGGCCTCTAGAGTCAAATCACTGCACACAGGCTGTGTGTGGGCTATGGGGGTGGGGATGGATTATCTGGATCCTCCCAAAACGAGATTTTACGGTGTGGATATCTCTGAGAACCGGGCATGGCTTTGGACCCGGCTGAACCTGTCAGTGACTCTGTAACCGTGCCTCCAGGCTCCCTCTCGAATGTGTCTCCCACACATTCAAAGCCTGATGCTCCAATTTCCGAGCCGTCCGTCTGGCGTCACCGTCGGCTTTTCTCGGGCTCCTCGGGGGCGACATCAGCACCATGGGCAGCAGCAGCCTGCGGGACCCGGGGCTCGGGGAGCTCTCGGGGCGCCGCGTTCCCGGGCAGCAGCACACAACCCGTTCCCGCTGCCGGGCTTCGGATCTGCGGCAGCACCAGGCACAGCGAGGGGAAAAGGGCTTGGCCGCGCTGACCATTCCCGTCCCGTCTGAGTTACCGCCTGCCCCTCTCTCTGAGGACACTGTAGGCGGGCAGCTGCTTTCTTCTATACAGAAACAGCAGTCCCTCGGCTCGCCGCCCACACAGCCGTGCCCGGGCTACGCTGCTGGGCATACAGAGCCCAAACCCCGCTACCCGCACACGGGCGCCCAGCACTCGCAGCCCGGAGCAAGCCCCGAGTGACGCCGGCGCAGGGCGCAGCCCCTTCGGGCGGAGCTGGCGGCGGCGGCGGGGAGGAGGCGCCGCGAGCGGAGCAGAGCCGGGGCTGGCGGGGGCAGCGCGGCGCGACGCGGCGCGGGCTGCGGAGCTGGCGGGATGCGGTAGTGCCGGGCCGCGGGGCTGGCGGGGCTGGCTCCTGGGTGCGCGGGGCTGCCGCCGGCGGGGCCGGACTGCGGGGGCTGCGGGGGACCCGGACCGCGCACGCCTTTGGGCGTCCGAGTTCTTTCCAATCTTCCCCATGGTGAAGATCCCAGAGGACATCCATCTGTCAGTCCCGAATCACCCAGGGTGGCTATAGGAAATTACAGACTCAAAAGAACAGAATACAAGGGAAAGAGAGGAAAGAGTAAAAGCTGAGGAACATAACATTGAGCATGGGGATCACTTTCTGCCCTTGTAGTGTCTGGAAATTCAGTAGAGATCAAAGCACTCAAAAGTGATGGACACTCCATCACAGTTGAGGATGCTGTCAGTTGCAGCAGAGGTGGAGGATCCCACAGTGGTGTTTCTGGAGTTACTACAGCCCACTGCAGTGGTTTCCTGGTGTTCCACCAGGTAAAAGCTGAGGATGAGGCCAAGCAGGGCCACTGTCACGGGGCCTCAGGAAGATATCCTGTGATATCCTGGAACAACAAAAAAGCTATTGCTTTAGTCACAGACATGCAGCTTCAGAAGAGGCACAGATCTCTGGGCACTGGGGAGAATGTACTAGATCCATTGAAGGGGCACATCAGAAGTGGCTGAACTCAAGCATTATGACTGGAGGAAGGAGAAAAGTTGTGTGAGACTTAAAAGAGACACCTCCCTTTGACAGTGGATTCTCCAATTTGCTGAAGTCTCAGCTGTATAATTTCCTTGGAAAGGAATGGCAAGTCCAGTGCTGCAGAAGGACTCTAACAGCTTGTCTGCGTATCAGTGTACAATCCCTTACAGCTCTTCCACACAGTTCTGCTTCCAGACAGCGGTGACTTTAGCCATCCCAATAACTGTGGATGAGCAGTATGGCTGGACATCAGGAATTCTGAAGATTTTTTAATTAAAAAAGAGGCAGGAGAACTGTGAGCAACCCAGAGCCATTGCTGCCCATGCAGGGACGCTGTCAGAAGCACCACAGATCAGCCTGAGATGAAAACTTTCTGGGAAGAACTGTGAGAAAAGCATCCTTAACTCTACTTTGGCAACGAAAAGGAAGCTAAGGAGATTGTACTTCCACTGGACCATGAGATGTCAGAAATAGTGAGAAGTGAACCTAAGATATAATGAATGCTTCTTTTTCATCCATTTTCATGATAATTCTTTAAGACAGACCTACATGGCCCCTGAGCTTCATTCACAGAATTCATGGGAGTGAAGAAGCACCCCCTGTAAAGGAGGAAAACTTAATGGAGAACTTAATCCAATTGGACATACTTGTACACTTGAAATGGTCTGGGATGCATCCAAGAGTGACTGATCGTGTGATGTTGTAGTGATGCAGATTTCTGTCATCCTTCAGGGGTCATGACAGTTGAGGGATGGCAGTCGTAACTATGAAAAAACAACATGCATCAGAAGCATTTAGCAGGACTGAGAAAGGGAACTCAGGAAACTATTGACCACCTGTACTACATTAACACCTTCCACAACGAAGTATTTTGGAGCAAATGTCTGTAGACGCCATGACGACGCATCCGAAAGTCAGCGAGGTGGTTTGGAGCAGCCCCGGGGCGGAGCTGGCGGCGGCGGCGGCGGCGGGGAGGAGGCGCCGCAGGCGGAGCAGAGCCGAGGCTGGCGGGGCTGGCCGCGGTGCTCCTGGGTGCGCGGGGCTGCCGTCGGCGGGGCCGCACTGCGGCGTGAACGGGAGGTCGGGGCCGCGCTCACCTCTGGACATTCGGCCTGTTTCCAAAACCGTGCACCTCTCTCCTGTGCATGAAATTTCTGTGCGAGAAAATGGATTTTCTGAGTGTGCTTCTTGTTTTCTTCACGGCAGTGGCTGTGAGCAGAGCCCAGGTGCAGCAGGAGCCGTCGGCAGAGACCAGCGAAGGCATCGGTATCAACATCACCTGCTCACACCCCAACATACGAAGCAATGAGGACATTCTTTGGTACCGCCAGCTCCCGGGCCGAGGACCCGCATTCATCACGAGAGCCGTTAAAGGCTCCAAGAACGTGCCGGACCCGGAGGGGCAGGTGTTGGTGTCGGCAGATCGCCGCTCCAGCGCCCTGTGGCTCGCCCGGCCCCGGCTCGGCGACGCGGCCGTGTATTACTGCGCGTTGGTAGCACGGGGATTCGAGCCGGGGCTGCGGCCGGGCACGAACCGCTTTGGGCGGGGCGGGGGCACAGTGCCGTCCGGGCCCGCAGGGGGCGCTGCCTGCATGGCCACCAAACTCCATCCTGACCTGGGTGCACCTCCCTGAGTTTTCGAGAAAAATGAGCACGGCTCCCATAGCAGCCATTGACTGAGCCTATGGCAGTCAGATAGAATTGCGTTTGAGGTGGGCAGGACGGCAAAGCTGTCGACACAAACTGTGTTTCACATCAGAGTGACATCCCCACAGTTCTATTCCATCTCCTACTCTCTTCTCCTTCCCCAGAGCAGTACATATGAGAGCAGTGGGAGCACTGTTCACAAGAGCCTGTAGGGTTGTTTGTTCCCTTGGCCTTCCACACAGTCACAGCTTTTCCTCTGAGTGCTGCAAAGGCTGTATTGTCTCTCTGCAGGACCTGTGAGGGCAGCTGTGGGCAGAAACACTACAAGTCAAAGGCCAGTAGCCACATGTTCGGTCTTAGACAAGGATATCTCCTTCAGCTGCAAGGGACTGCCCAAGAGAAGAGTAACTGCACTGCTTCACAACATGCCATTCTTCTGGGAATTGAGAGGGATCTCCATAAATACTCGTATTACAAGCAACAAGAGGAAAGCCATTCTCCCTGGGCACTTCTGAAGGCCATACAAGGTGGAGAGAAAAATCAAAAGCTCAAATGAGATGCAGAAATCTTTAATGAATTTTTGCAGAGGAATACAAGGTCACACTCAGGAGAGGCTCCACAGTGCAGGATTCATCCAGTCCCACGCTTGAGCTTATTCAAGACTAGAGCCTGCCTTTTTGGAAGGGAACAGGATGATTCTCAGGAGTCTCGTAATGCACAGGAGCAGAAGGAAGTAAAATAAATAAATTGGGGATTGGAGAGAGAAAGGAAAATGGAGAGAAATGGATCAGTAGAGGAAAGGAAAAAGAGACATGAGACATGTTTTCAGAAAGTTCAAGATTGCCTCTTCCTTTCAGCATTTCCTGGAGTATCAGAGTAGGGTCAGGAATTCTGAAAGCAGTGGCTTTTTGATCCAGCACCATGTTCGTGGTTCATGGACAAATTTCTGCAGGACCACAGCCGGGAGTTTTAGCATGGCAGGCACCTTCAGCCACAGTAGTGGCTGCCCAAGCTGGACAAGTCCAAGCCCCCCGACATGATGGGCACGCCCTCAGAGCTGAGGATGCTGCCAACAGCAGCGGAGGTGGAGGAGCCCACGACGGTGTTCTGCGGGAAGGAGCTGAGGATGGGTCCGGGCAGGGTCACCACCACGGGAGAGGGCTCGATGACAACGTTGGAGTTCTGGCACTGCCTGACACAGGGCTCATTGCAGCTGCTGGCCAGAGGGGTCGGGCCGCAGGGCCGGCATGGCACACACTGGGAGTAGCAGGACATGTCTTGAGACTGGAGGTACACACAGGGCAGAGGGATAGAAGGAAGTAGAGCATGAGGGTATGTGAGGTACAGCCAGGGTAGCCTCTCACAAAGGAACCAAGGCAACTACTCAGGATGAAGGACCCAGAAAGTCTTAGCACAATGACAAAGGATAGCAGGTCATCATGGACCAAATTGATTCTTATGGGCTTAAACTGCCTACACCAGCTGGCACATCATCCCATTTGTCGTTATCTTTCCCATGCCTCCCCTAACCTTGTTGGGAACGTCATCTCCTTTGTCACTGTGGGAAGTGAAAGGCAGCTGAGGATCCCAGTCTGTATCCCCCTTTGCAAGTTCATCTTTATGGAGATATGGAATCGCATGGTTCCAAAACTGGAGAATTTCTGTGTCATCAGGGAAGCATTAGTGTTTCCAGGTGAAAGGCACAGCCATTTGGAAATCTCTGAATGTCTAGTCTTCTCAGTGTGGCTCTTTGATTCACATACACAATAGAACACAGAACACCAGGAATATCATTATCCATTTCTCCTGTGGTTCTGGGTCTGTTCAGAGCCCAGGCTCTGGGACAGGAACTTGATGGTTCTGATCCTCATTTCCAAAATGCTCTGCTTTTCACCATAGCTTCTAACATCGGCATCATCTTCAGAGTTCTCCCTGCCCCTCTACTATCACTCACCAGAAGGCATTCTCCACTTGTGCTCCCATCACATCATAGTTCCTGTTTTTTAGGAGATTTCTTGAAATAGATACAAAACAACGTGTTGAAACTGAGACAGGACACAAGAGCATTGTGGTTAACAATTTTTTTAAGCTTGTGTGGAGAAAGGTAATGGAGTCACAGACTTTTGTCTGTTTGTCTGTTCTACCTCAGGCTATGCTGTGATTCACCAGTTCCATGCATTTCATGGATGATTAGATGATCTGTGGACACATCGTTTACTTTCCTAACAAAAGAAAGGACCAGGAGTGGCCTGGCTGAAGGTTTCTCAGTGAAAAACAGCAGAAAATCCAAGGGAACTTGTGGATTCTCTCATCTTGGGAACAACTGTGCCAGGCAAGACACTGTGCTGAAGAGTGTGACTGGGACACCCTCACATGCAGCAACATCCAACTCCAGCCCTGCCATCATCCCCCAAATACAACCTCACCACAGACCTCCCAGCAGCAGCCCTTCTGCACTGTTGAGGCTTGGTTGAAGTGCAGGAGATCTGACTGCAGGTGCACATAGCCTGGAGAATGCAGGGGAACTCCAGTATCAATTTACATCTCCCCACAGGGAGAAATACACACTTGCCATGCTTTGAAAATCTTTCCCATAAGGAACATGCCTACACAATATGATTTGGCAGTTGCCAGATTAAACCTTTCCTTTCAATACATTAAACGTACTCGTTTCTCTTATCCTGAGACAATCACTACTATGTCCAGTTACATTTTTGCCACTGCTACTGGATTTAGTAGAGGCCACCCTTCTTCCACAGAAGCAGGGAAGGACACACAAAAGGATACAACAAATATTTCCCTATTAATATTTAATAGGAATATTAACAAATATTCCTGTAGAAGGAAATAAAATCATGCCAAGAGTGAACACCGAGTGTGGGGAGCAGCAGGAGCAGACAAGAATCATTCCCAGAGCAGTGTTGCCACAGGGCCCTCATTTCCTGGTCAAGAATTGTAGCATTTACAGGCAATACACATCCATTTGGGCAATAGATTCTGCTCTTCTGGTGGAAGAGTCCTACAGAGGCAGATTACATCATGTTGAGTCACTCCTGAGGGGCTCCTTGGGGCCCATCTGGCAAGAAGTAGCCCAGCACTTGGGTGTGACCTTATCCCACCCCACACTGCTCTCAGGAAGTTTCTGCTGCTCCTCTTTTGCCTCCTCCTGTTTTTCCCCAGGGATGAGAATATGGGAGCAGAAGTGGCACAGAATCCTTTCCAGATCCCCAAAGAAAGGCACATCAGCAAAGTGTGAAATTAACTATTGGATTTATCAAGACACAGTGGTGTAGAAAATACATCCCAGTTTCCTTCTGGTGCTGGAAACCCCATCTTTCTTCAGTATCAGACAGAACCAGGGTATTTGCCCAAATCACACTGTGCAGAACATTTCCATAGACAGCTCCATCTTCTATTCATAGGATGAAACTCTGTTTCTGACATTACACCCTCCAGCATACAGAGCTCAGCTGGGCACTCCAGCTGATTCCATTACTACTGCAGTTCCTTAGGGATAAGGGAAGGGCTTCTCATTTGCTATATGCAAGGCCCAACAGAGCAGACTTGTCTAGGCAAGGATGCAGGGAACAACACATCAGTTGCATTGCATTCACAGCAATCACAGGCATCTTCAGAAGGCAGAAGAAAGAGGATCCAGGGAACAACGTGTCAGCTGTATTCCCCTTGCTCCTTCCTACAGTGTTTCAGAGGAAATGGCTTCAGATGTATTGTTAAATACACAAAGGACATGACAGCGATTAGTAGCAGGCATTCAGGATATACATAGGGTAAAGCATGCCTGAGCATACAAAGCATGCCTGAGCAATCTCATTGCATCCTGTACATGGCTGCAGTGACAGAGAAAAAATTGAGGTCAGTGAATGTTATGTGCTTACATTTTGATGAGACCATTTTCACTTCCTGTTGTGTAGTTCCCTCACAGCCAAATGGGTGAGTTATGGCATGGGCTAATACATAATAATGTAGGTGGAAAACCAGACGATCTGCTGGGCTCGAGCTGTTGTGACTGCTATTCAGAGTACAGCTGGGGACAGGAATCTATGAAGGGGTCTCTAATGGATCAGTGCTGGACCAGTAGTGTTTAACTACCCATGAATGCTCTCTATGACTGGATGAAGGGCACTGTAAGCATGTGTGTGGAGGACCCCTGATTGGGAAGAGCTGTCAGGACCTCAAGGAACAGGATGAGAGAAAAATGGAGCCAATCAAGAAGCATACAGAGACAGACATCAAAGGAGTACATGAAAATGATGGGAAGAAATAAATCGCACCATTCACACGAGCTGATGAGGTATCAAGGAACCACAAGGCTGGTTCCAGGAGGACAAGCCTGGTTTTTGCAAGTGATGGAGCTGTGAATCCAGACATGGACGGGGATTGGTGTGAGACAGACCTACGCTATCTCATGTTGCGATATACAGGGAAAGGGGTGAATATATGAGGAGTGACAGAGTGGCGTGCAGCAGGGGCCCCTCGGATCTGGTTGAACCATGTGATTGATCATCACAGACTCTCATGTCTCCTTAATGAATCTTTTCTTAACTCTGCATGCTGGATGGACAAATTACCAGTTACTGGGGGGAATGGCAGGACTGGTTTTGGTGCCAGCTGCTGGAGTCAGACTGGGGCTGAAGACTTCCCCGCCATGTGCTGTGTGCTACTACAAGAAGAGGGGTCCATGATTGTCTAATGGAACAGGTGCAGATCTTGAATCCCAACCAAATGTGGCAGGGGCAGGTTTTATTTCCATAAGCACCCGGATGTACTGCCAAGAGCTAGAGAAATGTGGCATTTAGT